TGCTTTAAGTCTGCAGCAATAGTACTTGTAGCCGACTTACTTTTTGTCAAAATTAATAAATCTCCAATTAAAGTAAGTCTGTTATGACAGGTTCATGAGGGCAGTTTCTGCTTTTCTTCCCCCTGAAAATGCTGTTACCTGGCAATTATTCTAACTCACTAAATTATTTTTTGGATTCACTAACCTAGGACACACCTGTAGATTAGTAAAGTGATGTCTTTATCTGCAAACTTATTCAGGATTAGAATTCAAAGTAGTGTAGGCAATAGGTGAGCATAACAGCCAGGCAGTCAGCATTTGCAGCCTTCATGTCTTCCTCACAACAGGTTTCCTTTAAAATGTATGTGAACCCAATAATAAAAATGTAATATACTGCAGCTTACCAGGCCTTAGATGGCAGGCCTGCAGTGATTTTCTTTTTTTCAGGTTTCTCTTTTCACCTGGTAATCCAGAGAATAACACACTCCCTGTCCTGGGGTAATTAGCCTCATTCCTCCACTAGATCTATAGAATACGGCCACGGTTCTCACAAATGCTATACTTAAAAACATGCCTTCCTTGTTTAATCTCCCTTACATTAAGACTCATGGCTTTAGTACACTGCTCAAAAAAATTAAAGAAACACTTTTTAATCAGAGTATAGCATCAACTCAATTAAACTCCTGGAATATTGATTTGGTTAGTTAAGTAGCAAAAGGGTTGTTAATCAGTTTCAGCTGCTTTGGTGTTAATGAAATTAACAACAGGTGCACTAGATGGGCAACAATGAGACAACCCCCAAAAGAGGAATGGTTTTACAGGTGGAGGCCACTGCCATTTTTTCCCTACTCATATTTTCTCTTTTTCACTAGTTTTCCATTTGGCAAAGGTCAGTGTTACTACTGGTAACATGAGGTGATACCTGGACCCTACAGAGGTTGCACAGGCAGTCCAACTCCTCCAGGATGGCACATCAATACATGCCATTGCCAGGAGGTTTGCTGTGTCTCCCAGCACAGTCTCAAGAGCATTGAGGAGATTCCAGGAGACAGGCAGTTACTCCAGGAGGTGGCCAGGGCTGTAGAAGATCCTTAACCCATCAGCAGGACCTGTAACTGCTCCTTTGTGCAAGGAGGAACAGGATGAGCACTGCCAGAGCCCTACAAAATGACCTCCAGCAGGCCACTGGTGTGAATGTTCTGAACAATCAGAAACAGACTTCATGAGGGTGAGCTGAGGGCCCTGTGCTCATTGCCCAGCACCATAGAGCTTGATTGGCATTTGCCATTGAACACCAGAATTGCCAGGACCGCCACTGGCACCCTGTGCTTTTCACAGATGAAAGCAGGTTCACCCTAAGCATATGTGACAGACATGAAAGGGTCTGGAGAAGCCATGGAGAATGTTATGCTGCCTGTAACATCGTTCAGCATGAACGTTTTGGTGGTGGGTCAGTGATAGTCTGGGGAGGCATAGACCTCTACAGACTAGACAATGGCACCCGGACTGCATTAGGTAGCAGGATGAAGTCCTTGGACACATTGTCAGACACTACAGTGAGTTGTGGGTTGCTCCTGGTTCACGACAATGTCTGGCGCATGTGGTGAGAGTATGCAGGAAGTTCCAGGAGACTGAAGGAATTGATGCTATTGAATGGCCCCCGCGCTTGCTTGACCTAAATCCAATAGAACACCTCTGGGATATCACGTTTTGGTCCATCTGACGCCACCAGGTTGCACCTCCGCTTATATAAAAGTGAGTGTACTTTACCCTAAAAAAATCATAAACAATAATAAATCAATAAATACTGCTGCATCAAAAAAATGTGCATAAATCTATTGAAATTATATAAAAGTCCACATTCATATATTAAGTAATTAAAAGTCCCAAAATCCAATAACAATGCTGTTTGCTAAAGAAATCTTTCAACGGATAGTGCATAGGTGTCCACAAATGCTTGACATAAAAGAAAAAAAAAAAAATCAGCCTCTTACCAGACACTTTGATCTCCAATCAAGAGATCCAATGAGCGGTTGGTGTCCAGATCCCACAATGACACCCTAGTTAGCCGTATCAAAGAGATGAATAGATGTATGGACAACTGCAGGTTCAGTTGAACAAATCCATCACATCAGACAGATAAGGTGCATAAAGGCGGAACTTTCTGTGACGTCACCTTGTTCGAGCCGGTGGTCTGACACCACGGGAATTTTAAATGTTTTACACTGCCTTTATGCACCTTATCTGTCTGATGTGATGGATTCGTTCAAGTGAACCTGCAGTTGTCCATCTCCTATTCACCTTTCTTGATACAGCTAACTAGGGTGTCAGTGTGGGATCTGAACACCATCCGCTCATTTGATCTCTTGATTGAAGATCAAAGTGTCTGGTAAGAGGCTGATTTTTTTTTTTTTTTTTGTGTCAAGCATTTGTGGATACCTATGAAATTTTTCCGTTGGAGGATTTCTTTAGCACACAGCCTGTGTTATTGGATTTTGGGACTTTTAAATTTAATTAATATATGAATATGGACTTATATAATTTGAATTAATTTATGCAGTTTTTTTTTACGAAGCAGTATTTGATTTATTATTGTTTATGATTTTTTAGTGTACAGTGCAGTCATTTTTTATACATTTTGTATTTTCTGGTGTTCAGGGAAAGAGTAGCAGCAGTTCACTAATTGTTACAGAATATATATTTTTTTTCACATTCACATATTGTATTGTCTGGGGTGTAGCGCAGGTTTTTTCCCTTTTTTTTCTGCACCTCAGCTCAGACTGTCCAGGAGCTCAGTGATGCCCTGGTTTAGATCTGGGAGGAAATATCCCAGGACACCATCCATCGTCTCATTAGGAGCATGCCCCTACGTTGTCAGGCATGCATACAAGCACATGGGGGCCATACAAACTACTGAGTACCATTTTGAGTTGCTGCAATGACATTTCAGCAAAATGGTCTAGCCTGCTGCATCATTTTTTCACTTTGATGATTTTCAGGGTGTCTTTGAATTCAACCTCTGTAGGACTGAATAAAAGACATTTCCTGAAAATCAAACGATGGGGCATTCCTTACAAACACATTATTCAGTCCATATCAGTATAGATATCCAGCATGAGATTTTTTTCCCCATTGAGATCTGATGTGTTTTCAAAGTGTTCTTTCATTATTATTTTTTTTTTTTTGAGCAGTGTAGTTTCATGCTGAAAAAAAAAAAAAAACTGAATACAGCTACTCCATCTTAAAACTAGTAAGCTACAACTATATTATTTTTTGAGTTTAGTCATCCTTTAAGTACACTTTTTTATTTATATGTATGTGCAGCTCTTGAGCGTCCATTGTTACAGGGATGGCAAGCGGAAACACGAAGGTTCACATTACTACAAACCTGAATTTGCAGTCCCAGCTAAAAAGGTAGATTCTATGCACTTGTTACCATAAAAGAGGTTTCAAACAAGAACAAGGAAATATATCAGAAATCTATTTCTGTAAATACATGATTAAAAATTAAAGTGGCATTTCCTCTTTAATGTTTTGTCCGCAAAGGCCAAGGAACAATGCTTCACAGAGTCAAAAATAAGAAGGAAAAACAATAACATTTATATTTTCAAGTGAAATAAAATTTGCAGGAAGCACAGCAGCAACAAAAAGAGAAAATTACAATTATTTACAACTCAGCTGCACAGATAAAAACAGATTGGACCCTGCAGAAGTCACAATGGATTTCATCTTCTTCATGGTTACACCGATGTCACCTCCCACCCCAAAGTCACCAATTCTGAGATCAAAAGTATTCCTCCCTATAAAATTAGGATAATGCCCTCCTTACAGAACAATTGAATAAAAACATGAAAAGAGGCTTCTAAAGCACCAAAATCTAATGGAGATTACATGTGGTTCTATGTAGTGTCCTAGAGGTAGCAACATAAAACATTTAGGTTTTCCAGAATTTGTACTTGAGAAGGCTACAAAACATAAAATTCCAGTGTTCTAAAATATTGGCCTAATACATAACCAATAGATATGATTGAAGTGGTCTGCTTTACACCATTACAAGACACTGCAGTGCATTGGCTTTTCATGTGTAACCTACACCAGCATTTTATTTATTTTATTTTTGGTTCATTTGTACTGGCTGCTACTTTAAGTCACACAGTCAGATAAATGAATGAACTGGTAGTGAAAAGGACTGTGGGTAAATGTACTCTGTCTATACCTAACAAAATAAGACGTGAACAGGACTGTTCAAATTCATGCAGCTATTTTGTAATAGGTTTTGGAAAGAAAGCAACGTTCTACCTTACACTGCCAGACCGACTACCAAACAGCAGGTCCTTATCCTAATCAATGATATAGTGTTCCGAAGGCCTCTCTGGAAAAGCTGAATGGGAACTATTCTCTTTCAGGTATTGGAAAACAAAGAAAATTAAAAAAAAAAAACAAAAAAAAAAAAAAAACAAACAATCTTTCCAGTAAATAAAAAATGGTTTAAGGTGCAACAAATGGGAGGATATGACACGATAAGGAAAAACATCCTCCCAAGGCTGGCTTTCCATCCTGGCTTCCACTGCCTTACCCTTTTATGCTATGACGGTTTTGTACAATTACCCCAAATTACTATGACACATATTTAAAGCCCCTGCTCCTCCTTCATTGTAAACATAATCCTGCATCTGCTACAAGGCAAACACAGCTTGCAGCACGATCAGGAGTTCTGGTTAGTTTCCCTACAATTGATTTTAAAAACAACAAAATGATTAAAAAGCAATCAACCCCTTTGCAGCTCCAGGATCCTGCAGTGCTTTGCAGCCCCTGGTGGTGAAGAGGTTAACCATGGGCAGCAGTAAACATTAGCAGGTGGATTAAGAATAGTGGAGTTATAGTCAGCACTGCTTCATAAGGCAGCATGGATTCATTCCGCTGGTCAATGGCCACTGCAATGACTCCGCCCTGTGCCTTCCAGAGGTTACTTCCATTTGGGCCACCAAGGGAGGAGCTAAGGGGGGTAGGTCTAGACAGGCTCATGAGAAGCTCTGGATGGGGTGACTGACTCTCATGCATGCCCAATAAATGGCACGCCCAATGCATATCAATACCAACAGCAGCAACAGCGCCCAAGAGGCATAGATTCCACCATATTTGCGTGCCAACGTCCAAGTACCCGCCTGCAAGACAAAACAGTCACCACAGTGAAAAAACAGGTAGCACTTAAACATATATGACAAATGTTGCAGCATTGACTATAGAAGCTTTTCTTTATAGTGCATTGAAAAAGTATTCATACCCCTTGAAATTTTCCATATTTTGTCATGTTACATTAAAATAAAATTTATTTTAGTGGGGACAAAGCCTTAAAGTGGAACTTCCCCTTTTGGGTGGAGCTCCACTTTAGCCATTTACAAGTGTGTATATGCCTTGCATACTCACTTCATAGTCATTTATATTATGCAACAGTCATAAGGCTCAATTCACAACACTTTACACAAGGCATTTCATTTTCAGTCATGGGCCTGTAATTTTCCAATTTCATTGGATGTAACTGAAAATAACTTTTTGGAAAATTGTAATTTTATCCTAATGTATTGGCTTTAATTGAGCCTACAGTCTTAAATTATCAGTTAAAATGAAAAAGTATTCCATTCTAGATAAATATTTACCACAAGTCCAGCGGCAGCCAAAGCAAAGACAAATCCCATTAAGAAGCAGCACACACATCTCCTTCGTGGGTACCTCAGTCCAATAGAGGAGCTGAAGACAAAAATAGATACAGTAAAACCGAGGCCTTAATCTAGTGCCAGCATTCTTCCCCCATCCTAAACTAGCTTATCATTCTCTGACACTTACACTTTCCGGCAGTGCGGGCAGCGCGCCAGCGTCCGGTCTGAAAAATCTGTCCACTGAAAAAAGAAGAGTGGTTAAACATAACCTTTTATAATGACATAAGCAAGAATTCAAGACAGATGCAAAAAGAACGAGGGAAACATACTATAGCATTGGTAAAAGTACAGGATTAGCTGCCGAATTACCCAAGCAATCTACTGCTAGCAGAAGGTTTTTTACTTTCATGCAGAGAATGCATAAAACTGATGCTAAACCCATGATATAAAAATTAACATATCAGCACTTCCGCAGCACCAATGAAATAGAAATGCATGTTTTTAATAAGAAAGACACCATCTACATTCCCTTATATTGTAAATCGCTGCGCAAACTGTTGCCGCTATATAAATCCTGTATAATAATACTCTACATTAATTTAATCACTGAATTCCGCGATTACGTGACATAAAGATGTGGCCGGCCCGAGTGCTGAATCTTGCTGTGGGAAGAGACTTCACGCTCTCCTGCAATCCTCATTGACCCCTGACCCTCTTTCCAACAAGCGCCGATTGGCCATGTGAACTGCCTGGCTCCTCTCATACAGGAAATGTTCTCTTCAGCAAAAGACACCAAACTGAGTATGTGCAGAGTGACTCCACACAAAAGGGGCACTGGAACAAGGGGCAGATCAGGGAAGTCAGGATCAAATAGCGTTTTTACACAATGCAGAGGATTAACCCCTTGGGTTCCACAGCGAGTATAACAAGCATGCTTTACTGCAGAATGATTTTACTGTTGTGGGTTTAGTAACACTTTAAGGTAAAACACTGAGGCCTTTACAACCACTTTAAGTTAGTCATACCCCAAACATAGTTTGCAAACACAGTGAGTTTGCTAGCACCAGATCGCATGGTACTGAAGTGCACTGCAATCCAGTTGCAGTAAGTTTCCAAAGGTAGTGCATGTACTACTTTTGTTGTGATGAGATTTCAGCCCATTTAAAATGAATAAGCTGAAATCGCACAGCACAAAACTGCATATGAATCACACAGGAACACGTGATTTGTACTGTTTGTAGAGATCCAGCAGTGGGTCATCAGATGTGAGTGCATGCTGATAGTTAATAAAACCTAGACATGCACACTACAGCTGTAAGCAACACTCCTTAATAAAAGCCAAGAAAACCTCTGTGGGCAGCAGCCTTGTAAAATGAAATGCAATTTAGGCAATTACAAACTGCTAAAATAGCAACAGACTCATATCCACATACAGTAAATAAGTCCATACTTGAATTTGGTTTTAAAAAAAGCATTATTGCCAAAGGAACACACCAATTCAATGGTATAACATTACTAAATTTTGCATACCAGAAAATTGTTCTTGCAGTGTCCACAGATGACTCGTACTCCGACAGGCTGTGGCTCTGGGCTGAGGGGTCCAGCATGAACTGGGCCAAGGTTAATGATTCGTTTACTGGTGAAATCAGACAAGCATTTGTTATTCATTCAAAATTAATTATATGACAGTTTATTACATATACAGTGGAAAGCTTGCCAAATCTATAGCAAGGGAAGATAGTTGCAATCGCCAGTGCAATCTAATAATCCTCACTTCAGAAAATGTAACAAACAAACTACACTACCATTACACACCATCCGTTAGAATATAGTATGTATTTCCACTAACAAGTGATATATAGCAATTAAAGATAAAAAAAAAGCAAAAAAAGAACAATGGAACAACCAGTGGGGTAACAGGTAGGAACTGTCAGAAGTACAGTTCCTTTACAGTGGATATAAATCCCAACAATAAACTTCTCTTATTTGTTTGGTCTGTTAAATATACAACTGAAAGTTTTGTTATATCTGTACATGCAAAAGAAAAAAAAAAAAAAAAAAAAATCCTGTTGATCCTGCTAGAAAACTAGAGTTGCTCTCTGCACTCTGCAGTTTTATCTCAAGAACTCTGTTAACAGCCCTGCCTGCATGCTCCTCTGAACTACAGAGCACCTCCCCCAATGTTATGCAGAAGAGGAGAAAAGGGAGTCCTAACACTTCTTGTCCTATAGTGACAATGCTGCTCTTTCATAGATGCAGTACAGTGAGTGAGTGTTATCACCCCAGGATGGGAGTGTGTTACTAAAAAGGATTACCAGGTAAGAATACAGAATATAAAGCTATAAATGTAAAGACTACATTTCTTTAGGCTGAACTCCTGGATAAGCAAATGTCAAAATACAAGAGGAACACGTATTCTTCCTTCAGTGTTGGTGTGCATTGTGTATTTATTCCAGATCTGTGCAGTAATCCAGTGTGAAGCTTCACCACTGTACAAGAACTTTGTGTAATAAAGACCGGTCATTGCTAATCTCTCTCCTTGGGCAGAGTGACTGGTCTTGTGAATGGGCCTGCTGGGTCCCTCTCACAGCTCTGCACTCTGCATATGCAATGTACAACACAGTGAGGATATCTCCGCTACTCTACAAGGTAATATCTGGGTTTACAAAGGCATTTGGTGCACAAAAAGTGGATTTATATATATTCTGACTATTGGAAGGAATACTTTTAAATGAATGTTTTTGCACCTGGAGATTAGCTTGAAATCTTTTTCTTTCTAAAAAAATAAATAAAAGTGGTTTCAATTGTTTTATATTACTTAATTTCCCCCCGCCAGCCAAACAAACACTTCTTCCCTTCACTCCCTTACCATTCTGTTCAGTCTGAAAGTATCTGGCATTTTAGGAACACTAGGCAGCCAAGTCCTCATGCACACTGGATGTTTTTACAGCGGCTGTTTTTTGACTTTTGACGTTTTTTCTACAGCTAGTAAACCCCCCAGCATGTTATCCTAGTGTCCATGCACACAGACTGTAATCAATGTTTTTTGTCAGGGGCGTTTTTTGGCTGTAAAAAAGAACACCAGGACTAGTGGGTTTCTAGAGGAGTTTTTTAGCTGTAAAAATGCTCTAATGCTGAAAAATGTGGTAAAACGCTGCAAACTGGTGTTTTTGGACTTTTTTAAAAAAAAAAAAAAAAAACACCTGCTAAAAAACGCAAACGTGGGAAAAATGCCACTAAACGCTAATGCAAAAACGCTAAAAAAACTCACGTTTTTAACATAACTTTACACAGCTAATGTTACCAGCATTATGAAAACACCCCATGTGCATGAAGCCTAAATCATGCCATGTGAAGGACAGGTAAACTTGCGATGCATGGGGGTGGGGGTGGGGGGGGGGGGGGGGATAAAGTAGACCTGTAGCTTTGCCTAGCACGGTGTGTCAGCAGCCCGCGGCTCTTTTTCACCTTGGCTGCGGCTCCGGGAGCACACTGCCCACCAGGTGACAGGCAATAGGGCAGCAATGGGCAAACTACGGCCCGGCGGACCTTTTAAGTGATGAGCCATGCTCTCATTAGCTTTTCATTCACTAGGCAGCAGAATCCTGGGCAGCTGGACCTAAACAGGTTCAGACTATAGTTTCACGTAATGACAGAGGAAAGGTCACTTCACTTGTAGTTAGCCCTAGCAAGTGTAGTCAATAGTAACACATTGTAAATAACATGCAGTTACCCTTCCCATGTGGTTTGTTCTCACCAGTATGGCCTAGGGCAGGCTATCCTCTGGGAGGTGACTTTACAAATGAGCAGGCAGTTGCATGGACAACGAACATACTTCTTCCCCTGGGGGGCATTCTTTATGGGCTGCAGGAATGAATGAATAACCATTAGGCAGACTCACAGGAATAACAACTCTTCTGGCAAACTAAAGAGTATTTAGTGCAAAATACATACTGTCTGGAGTCCAACCATAACACATCCTCTGTCCTACAGGACAATACTGCCTTACTTACCGTGGCCTCATTGCAGACCCCACATTTCACTACATGCTGATGCATTTTGCCTTCCACATTGATGAGTGACTGGCAAACCCTACATGTTATCATAGGAGCAGAGCCACTTTCAGGACTTGTCAGCGGTGAATAAGGTGGAGGGTCCTCACTAGGTAACACATGACCTGCTGGGAACACAGGAAATCCTGATAAAGGAGGAAAAAAAAAGTTCAGAACAATATAAAATAAAACAAATATTTAAACAAGAAGAACAAATAGTGACAAAATAAACATTGTTTATCTAGCAATTCAAGCATCACAAGAAAAGTGATTCAGACAGTAAAAGATTACAAGAATGTTATCTGTGCCGATGAAAGGCACTCCGCTTTTTTTTTTTCTACTTCTAGGGGCAAAAAACAGACACACCTATAGCAAGTCATAGATTTTATTGCAGGAAAGAAAATCTCTCAATTTCCCCATCAATAGTCAGCGTTGACGGGGAAATCCCTACCGCAACGCAACTGTGTTCTGCCAGAGGGGAGCCATTCCAGATGGCAAAACACAATGATTACTGCTAGTGGATATAGCCTTCGACAGAGATCGCACGTAAAAAAAAAAAAAAATCTGACAGGCTGGTTGAACCCAAGTCAATTGATGGACTGACGTCAGTACACTCAGTCTGCACATAGACTGATCAAATCTCAGCCACTAACTGCTGAACCGGCTGGGATTCGATCCATCTATGGCCAGCCTAAGAGTGGGCGCAGACAAGCGAAAAACAATATAAAAAATGCCAAATCTTTGGTCTGCTATGATGCCTACACAGTGGCCATTTATCTGTCGGACTCTGTTGACAAGTAGCCCAATATATAGAGTATGATTGTTGTAATAGTGAATATTGACTGTTTAACAGATGTGTGATATTATACAGATTGCAGATGATAGAGATCTAGATTATTCATGACTGACAAGTACTTTGCCTAACATACAATAAATCCACAGCACTGAACATCTCTGAATATGGCCATAAAAGTCATAAGACCTGCATTGCACAATTCTAAACTCATACAGCGAATGAGTCGTAACCCACATCAATAAAGATATATTAACCTGTTGATAGTTTTCATGAAAGCCCATGTTTCCTCTTCACATTGTGAGAGCCCAAAGGATGTGCCAAATAACACTACCAGTTTTGCATTATCATAAATTGAAAGATATGCAAACCATAACAATGAACTTCTCTTTTTGTGCCCCCATTTGGTGTGTTAAATATACCATTAAACAAGAGTTTTATTATATTTGTTTGATAAGTGCAAAAAAAACCCCTGCTGACTTTGCCAAAAATCTAGTGAACTGATCATTTCTTGTGCTTCCTGCCTGTGTACAGGGAGGGGTTAAGGTGACTGGGAAGAGGGGGTGGATAGATGAGAAGAGGTCTGGGCTCTTTGTAATTCATCAGAAATGAAGTAGGCAGGGCTGACACCTTGTGCTTTGGAATTCAGAGATCAAAACACACCAGGGAAATTTACTAAAACTGGAGCAGCTGTGCATGGCAACCAATCAGCCTGTATCTTTAACTTATTCAGTAAAAGCAGAACTCTACCCATAACAACGGGATAATAAATAATGTTCCTTAGGAACATACATTCCACATTAATAATTATGCTACCAAAAGTAGTGTGTGCTGTAAATTCCCTCCAGCATTGGTCATGTTTCTTCTTACTGGAGGCTGCCATTTTGCTGAAGCCCTAAGCAGCATTAAGGCCTGATGCACACAGGGCTTTTTGCAGCCACTTTTAATAGTTTCAGGCGTTTTTGGGTTTTTTTTTTCTTACTGCTTGTAAATGTCCCTCCATGTTATCCTATGTGTCTATGCACACATAGACTTTGAGGAGCCTTTTGAAACAGGAGCATTTACAAGCAGGAAAAAAAAAACCCAGGGCCAGTGTGTCCAGGAGCAGCAGCGTTTTGGCAGAAAAAAAAACAAAAAAACACGTGTTAATGTTAGGCGCGTTTTGCGATTGAGTGTGAATTAGTTTCAAAGTCAGAATAAATTATTCTGGCTAATTAAATAAATTAATGTTCAAGCATCTGATGCTTGTAAAAGCGTTACATACTTTTACAAACGTCAGGCGTTTGTTTCTGCAAAAACGCTACTGCATGGAGGAAGGCTTCTAAGAGTTTTTTCTTTTTTTTACATCCTGTGTGCATGGGCACTGACAGGTGGCACTGATGGACACTGATCATCAGGGCACTTACCTCTGCTCAAAACAGTCCGACACCTGAGAGGTCCCTCACTGACATCTGGTCCCTGACTTCTTCCAGGTGCTATATAAAACTTGCCTAACATACGGATTCCTCTGCTTAGTAAATAGTTAACAACAAAGTGGGAATCACGAAGTGGTCACATCCCACAGAAGGCAGTATAAGAAGCTTAACATTCTGATCCCTCTGGTTAGTAAACAGTTTTTCTGGGTACTGGTCTTCAGCCACCTTGATTGGCCAGCGTGAGATGACATCACTCCCTTGCCTGTGTAGAAGTGCAGTCATCCCGGTAAGTATGCCAGAATGTAAGCTGCGCGTGCGCAACTCAGCGTACATTTTTTTACTTTCTGCATTCAGTTCGGCTTTTATTTGCTTTTAAGTTGTGAATCCTGAGTTGGCATACTCACCCACACAGTGGCTCCAGTGTTACCCTGCTCTCTGATCCTCTGTCACCACCAGTCAAATCCAGTGAGGAGGGTCCAGATCCGGAGCAGAACCACACTGTGTGTTTCTATGGATGCATACAGCCCAGCTTGGGAGCACACCCACTCAATGCATGCCTTGAGGACACCCGCAGTAAGGAGGAGATGTTTAAAGTGATTCTAAAGGCTTGTTTTTTTAGGTTTTTTTTAAGAAAAGACGACAAACATGTCTATACTTAGCTGCTGTGTGCAGTGGTTTTGCACAGAGCAGCCCGGATCCTCCTCTTCTGGGGTCCCCCGCAGGCTCTCCTGGCCCATCCCTTCTGTCGGGTGCCCCCACAGCAAGTAGCTTGCTATGGGGGCACCCGCTGCTCCATGTGTCCATTCACACACGGAGCTGCGGCTTGGCCCTGCCCTCTCTTCTCATTGGCTCACTGGCTGTGATTGACAGCAGTGGGAGCCAATGGCTCCCGCTTTTGTCTCAGCCAATGAAAAAGAGGAAATCCCAGGATAGCCCTTTATGGAGGGGGGAGTAGTATTAAAAAACAGATTAGATCTCAATGGGGAAAAATACCATACTGGAGATCTATCCTGATATGGACTGGGTAATGAGTTAGGAATGCAAGGATGCCCCATCGTTTGATGGAAACGAAAATTATCAACCTACAGTGGACTGAATTCAAAGACACCTCGAAAATCAAAATTAAAGAAAAAATGATGCAGCAGGCTAGACCATTTTGCTGAAATTTCATTGCAGCAACTCAAAATGGTCCTCAGTAGTTTGTATGACCCCCACGTGCTTGTATGCATGCCTGACAACGTCCGGGTCTGCTCTTAATGAGACGACGGATGGTGTCCTGGGGTATTTCCCCCCAGATCTGGACCAGGGCACCACTGAGCTCCTGGACAGTCTGAGGTGCTACCTGGTGGTGTCATATGGACTGAAACATGATATCCCAGAGGTGTTCTATTGGAGTTAGGTCAGGCGAGGATGGTGGCCATTCAATGCTATCAATTCCTTCATCCTCCAGGAACTGCCTGCATACTCTCGCCACATTAGGACGGGCATTGTGCACCAGGAGAAACCCAGGGCCCACTGCACCAGTGCAGGGTCTGACAATGGGTCCAAGGATTTCATCCCGATAACGAATGGCAGTCAGGGTGGCATTGTCTAGCCTGTAGAAGTCTGTGCGTCCCTCCATGAATATGCCTCCCCAGAGGCATCAGTGACCCACCACCAAAACGGTCATGCTAAATGTTACAGGCAGCATAACATTCTCTATGGTTTCTCTAGACCCTTTCATGTCTGTCACATGCACTCAGGGTGAACCTCATCTGTGAAAATACACAGGGCGCCAGTGGCGGACCTGCCAATTCTGGTGTTCAATTGGAAATGCCAATCAAGCTCTATGGTGCCGGGAAGTGAGAACAGGGCCCACTAGAGGACATAGGACCCTCAGGCCACCCTAATGAAGTCTCTGACTGTTTGGTCAGAGACAGTCACACCAGTGGCCTGCTGGAGGTCATTTTGTAGGGCTCTGAAAGTGCTCATTCTGTTCCTCCTTGCACAAAGGAACAGATACCAGTCCTGCTGATGGGTTAAGGACCTTCTACAGCCCTGTCCAGCTCTCCTAGAGTAACTGCCTGTCTCCTGGAATCTCCTCCATGTTCTTGAGACAGTGCTAGGAGACACAGAAAACCTCCTGGCAATGGAATGTATTGATGTGCCATCCTGGAGGAGTTGGACTGCCTGTGCAACCTCTGTAGGGCCAAGTACCGCCTCATGCTACCAGTAGTGACACTGACCCTAGCCAAATGCAAAACTAATGAAAAACAGTCGGAAAAGATGAGTAGGGGAAACATGACCAGTAGCCTCAACCAGTAAAACCATTCCTGTTGTGGAAGTCGTCTCATTGTTGCCCATCTAGCAGCTGAAACTGATTAACAACCCCCTCTGCTACTTAACTGACCGGATCAATATCCTGGGAGTGTATTTTTTATATATATATATATATATATATATACACACATACTTTATATTGCCAAAAGTATTGGGACGCCTACCTTTACACACATGAACTTTACTGGCATCGCGGACTTAGTCCGTAGGGTTCAATATTGAGTTGTCCCGCCCTTTACAGCTATAACAGCTTCAACTCTTCTGTGAAGGCTGTCCACAAGGTTTAGGAGTTTGTCTATGGCAGTGTTTCTCAACTCCAGTCCTCATGGACCCCCAACAGGTCATGTTTTCAGGATTTTCATTATTTTGCACAGGTGATTTGATCAGTTTCACTGGCTTAGTAATTACCACAGCTGTTTCATCTGAGGGAAATCCTGAAAACATGACCTGTTGGGGGTCCATGAGGACTGGAGTTGAGAAACACTGGTCTATGGGAATGTGTGACCATTCTTCCAGAAGCATATTTGTGAGGTCAGGCAGGAGAATGTCAGAAAAGAAGGCCTGGCTCACAGTCTCCGCTCTAATTCATACCAAAGGTGTTCTGTCGGGTTGAGGTCAGGACTCTGTGCAGGCCAGTCAAGTTCCTCCACCCCAAACTCGCTCCTCCATGTCTTTATGGACCTTGCTTTGTGCACTGGTGCGCAGTCATGGTGGAACAGGAAGGGGCCATCACCAAACTGTTCTCACAAAGCTGGGAGCATGAAATTGTCCAAAATGTCTTGGTATGCGGAGGCCTTAAGGAGTTCCCTTCACTGGAACTAGGGGGCCAAGTCCAACCCCTGAAAAACAACTCCACACCATAATCCCCCCTCCACCAAACTTTACGCGTGGCACAATGCAATCAGGCAAGTACCGTTCTCCTGGCAACCACCAAGCCCAGACACGTCCATCAGATTGCCAGACAGAGAAGCATGATTCGTCATTCCAGAGAACATATCCCCACTGCTCTAGAGTCCAGTGGTAGCGTGCTTTACACCACTACATCCAACACTTTACATTGCACTTGGTGATGTAAGGCTTGGATGCAGCTGCTCGGCGGCCATGGAAACCCATTACATGAAGCTCTCTACGCACTGTTCCTGTGCTAATCTGAAGGCCACATGAAGATTGGAGGTCTTTAGCTATCGACTCTGCAGACAACTGGCGACTTCTGCACACTGTGCACTTCAGCATGTGCTGACCCTGCTCTGTCATTTTACGTAACCTGCCACTTCGTGGCTGAGTTGCTGTTCCCAGTTACTTCCACGTTTGTTATAATATCACTAACAGTTGACTGTGGAATATTTAGTAACAAGGAAATTTCACGGATGGACTTATTGCACAGGTGACAACCTATCACGGTACCACGCGTGAATTCACTGAGCTCCTGAGAGTGACCCATTCTTTCACAAATGTTTGTAGAAGCAGTCTGCATGCCTAGGTGCTTGATTGTATCCACCTGTGTCCATGGAGGTGATTGGAACACCTGAATCCAATGATATGATTTGGAGGGGTGTCCCAATACTTTTGGCAATATAGTGTGTGTATGTATATATATATGGAGAAAGAGTGCACGCAAGTGTGCGCAATGCAGCAAACAACTTTCAATAAGTCACATGTTGGCCCTTGTAAGTGTATTTTCTTTACACTGGGGCCCATGAGGCACTCACTACAATCCAGCCTCCATGGGCCCCGATGCCCATTAATACAACTAAATGCACAATGCTGCTCACTGACCATTACAAGTACTCATTACATATTATTCTATAATCAGACCACGCCCCTTCACCTTCTCCCCACTTGTCCCTTTAGCCAATCACCTCAGCAACTCACAAGCCCCGCCCATCGTGCGTGGGCTGCAGCTGTTCAGCAATACAGACCGACTAATAAATATTAAGTGTAGTGGGCGTGGCAGCGAGTGCTCGCCAATACACATATGATTTAGTAGGCGGGGCCCTACCTTGCGGCTTGTTGCTGGGGGTGGGTCCGGGTACCCCGTACGGAGGAGCTGAGGGAAGAGCACTACCTGGTGAAGGTGCTCCGGGGCCCACTGCAGCGCCCATACCCCCTCCATCCCCGAGATCCGAGAGCAGAGGGGAGCGCTCTCCATCCGCCATGTCCCTCGCTCCCACCTATCACCGGCACACTCGACTGCTGCTGCTTCTGCCGTCTGCTGACGCACCTCTCACTGCGGCTGCGCACTACGCTTGCGCAGGAGGTGGATCGGGAGGATTCTAGAGCGCACATGCGTAGTGAAGGGTTTGCGTCGTATCACGTGCTCATAAATTGCAAACAAAGGTCTTCCGCTCATGTGACAGTCACCTGAGTTAGTGGGTCGGGTTGTTTTGGTTACATGTAGCTTTATTGAGAACACAAACAGTAAACATTAACTGAGAAGTCAGGTGAAGCAGGCAGGGACAGATTTGTGATAGCTTAATTCTTTGTAAAAAAAAAAAAGATATATACCGTATATTGCAGTTTAACATTTCTTAGGTGAGGTGCTGTATTTGTTGTCTTTTAGGAAGCTATGCACAGTTTCTGCAAGTAGAGCCAAAGTTTCAGGATCCTCCTAGATACACTGTATTCCTGTAATGTCCTGTGCACTCACCTGATCTTTCAGTGGTATCAGTTGTCCCAGCTTTCTATGAACTGCATAATAACTCTATATAATGGAGACAAGGAGAGCAGCCGGACAGTATTCAGTACAGTAAAAAGGGTTCGCTCACCTTTAACCGCTTTACCGCAGTCCTACAGCAGAAATACTGCTACAGGGTGGCAGATGTGCGCAAATCATGTGTATATACGTAATTTTGCACTTCTGGGTACGGGGCACACGCGAACCACAAGTGCACCCTACCCGTGCCGCCATTGGCAGCTTCACCTGTTGATCACTGGGTCCTGGCCAGTGATTCCCCACCAGCACCCGGCGATCACCGTGTGTCACAGATGGAGGGAGAGACCTGTATGTAAACAATACAGATCAGCTCCTGCACGCTGCTTTGTATGGCTCTGCATAGCACACAGTGAAACAGCACACAGTTAACACTTTGATCGCCCCAGATGTTAACCCTTTCCTGCCCAGTGTCATTAGTACAGTGTCAGTGCTTTTTATTAGTATTTTTTTATGCTGTGCAGAGCAATACAAAGCAGTATGTTTGTGCTGACAGAGGAGAGATCTGTGTTGTTTACACACAGACCACTTCCCTGTCAGCTCCGCCGATGATCACCGAGTCCCGGCCGGAGAATCGGTGGCCAGGACCCAGTGATTGACATGCCAATAGCGGCGGGGGTAGGGAGCGCATGCACGCGCACCTCCTGCCCTGAAATGCAAATCATGTATATATACGTGATTATGTGCATCCCTGCCGCCCCTTAGCAGTACTGCTGGTGGTCGGGAAACTGTTAAAGCAGTATTAAACCCCAAAGCATATTATATTATTTTTCAATGGAACAAGCTGTCTAGCAGATAGAGGGTTCAGACAAACCATGTACCACTGACGGGTGCTTACAATGATCAGTTTTATTTATGTAAAACCTTTATCCCAAAAGAAAAAAAAATGTTTCCTGTAACTTTTTATAAAGTGTTAGCTAGAATTTGGCTTCAATTTGTTAATGTATTTAAATTTGCTAGTACATCTAACACCACCCTCCCCCCAGACTGGCAATGTTGTTGTCCAAAGGTACCCTCTGTGCTCCTTCATCCAGAGTGGTGGGACTCTAATACAGGTTTATTACTGGCCAGATCACCAGGTGAAAACAGAGGGGAAAAAAAGCATAAACAAAGAAAACTAATGCAGCCACCACAACTAAGGATTGGTAAGCTGCAATATATTAAATTTTTGGTTTTGGGTTTATTAATGCTTAACCACTTGCTGCCCCGTCACAGTAGACCATCACTGAGGTTGGACACTGCAGGATTTTGTCAGCAGTTCCCAGTCAATGATTTATAGCCAGGACCTGCTGATTGTCTATGTCCAATCATAGCACAGAGCCCTAAGTTTACACACAACACAGGGCTCTGTACACAGAGCAGCAATGTGACTGTTTCTTCTCCCTGCAAAGCAGGGAGCAAAAACAGCCAGATCTCTTAGTAAAAGCAGCACATATCACACACAATACACTTGTTGGGCACACAGTTATCCCTTTGATTGCCCTAGTTGTTAACCCATTCCCAGCCAATGTCATTAGTACAATGACAGCATTAACACTGATCACTGTATTAGTGTCAATATTGATGTCAGTCAGTTAGTGTTCCTCTCAGCAGGTGTCAGCTTGCACCATATTGCCAGCCACACTATCACAGTCACTGATCACCACCATTACCAATATAGTGTCATAGCTGCGTAAGTTCCAGTATACACCATAGTTTGTAAACCAATCAATATTTGCTTATGAGGATTTTTTTTCTTTACCAAAGACATAAAGTAGAATACATTTTGGCCTAAATTTATGAAGAAATTAGTTTTTCTTATGTTCTATTGGATATGTTTATAACAAAGTAGAAAAAAAATTTTTTTTTCAAAATCTTCAGTCTTTATATAGGTCTTATAATAAAAGATAAAAAAAAACTCATTGGCAATCAAATACCACCAAAATAAAGCCCTTATTTCTATGAAAACATTATATAAATTTCATTTGGGTATAGTGTTGCATGACCGTGCAATTGCCAGTGAAAGTAGCACAGTGCTGAATAGCAAAAAAATGCCACTTACCTTCTGGAAGTCAAGTGGTTAAAGCCTGGAGCAGATAGATTTTGTGAAAGTGTCTCTCTTGTGTTCTAAAAGTGGTGCAGAACACACCAAATTCATGTGCCTGTCTACAACTTGTACTTTAGTTTGGCTCATGCTGTACCACTTTAAGAATGCAAGTGAGACACTTTTGCAAAATCTGTCTGGTCCAATTTCTCTCTCTGCATGCCAGAAGACAGTTGGTCTTAATTAGCTCCACTTTCTTAAAGCTGAGCTCCACCCAAAAAGGGAAGTTCTGCTATAAGGCGTCACACCCTGCTCCCCATTGACAGGTACTAGCTCCCGCTTCCACTGCGATCATCTGGGTGATCAGAAATGGAAGTTGTCGTCCCCCTTCCCCGTAGTCTTCTGGGACACATGGCACGTTCCAGAAGACTTCGGGAGCATTCACAAAGTGCAGAACTACTTGCACATGCGCAATGGGCACCCGACTGTGAACTCCCATGGTACACAGGATCTCTGGAACTCAGCCAGGGTGACCATCAAGTTCTTGGTCACCTTACTAAGGCCTTTCTCCCTCAATTGCTCAGTTTGGCTGGGCAACCAGCTCTTGGAAGAGTCCTGGTTATGCCAAACGTCTTCTGTTTGAGAATTATGGAGGCAACGGTGCTCTTGGGGACCTTCAGTGCAACAGAAATTTTTTTATAGCCTTTCTCAGATCTGTGCCTTGCAATAATCCTGTCTGAGCTCTGCGGAGTAGTTCATTTGACCTCATGGCTTTTGCTCCTTTATAGTATGCATTGTCATCTGTAAGTCCTTTTATAGAGAGGTGTGTGCCTTTCCAAATCATGTCCAATTTATTTTACCACAGTTGGACTCCAATCATGGTGTAGAAACATCTCAGCAATGATTAAGGGAAATGGGAGGCACCTGAACTAAATTGCAAGTGTTGTTGCAAAGGGTCTGAATACTTAGGCCAATGTGATATTTTCATTTTTCCTTTTTTATACATTTGCAAACATTTCTAAAATTCAGTTTTCACTTTGTCATTATGGGGTATAGTGTGTAGATTAATGAGAAATAAAAAATAATTTTACACAACTGTAGTATCAGGCTGCAACATAACAAAACTGGAAAAAGTGAAGGGGGTCTGAATATTTTATTAATGCACTGTAGATCACTGGTACTGTCCCTGAGTGCCAGGATCATGGCTTCTTGCGCATACGCAGAAGTGATATTATCCTGTGCCGGCCAATGAAGATGACCGAAGACCAATACCCAGAAGAAGATGCCAGCAACGGCGAGGAGCGGGACCTGTTGAAGGAAGAGGTAAGTATAGCTCCTTTAATTCTGCTTTATCTATCTATGTATCCATATATCGAGGTTGGACAAAATTATGGAAACACCAGGTAAAAGAACAAAATCTTTACCTAAGATGGTGTTGGACCGCCTTTGGCATCCAAGCCAGCCTAAATTCTCCTGGGAACTGACAAATATAAGTCAAAGATGATGGCTAATGGAATCTGATACCACACTTCATGCAAAAATCATTCCAGCTCTCGCAGAGGTGGAAAACGAGCCCAAACCTTGTTCTCCAAAACTGACCGAAGTGTCTCTATGATATTGAGGTCCGAGGACTGTGGCGCCCAGGGAAGGTGTGAGACTTTGCATGCTTGTCAAACCACGATTTGACAACACCAACTGTGTGAATCAGAGCATTATCATCTTGGTAAATGGTGCTGTCTTCTGGAAACAATGTATGCACCATGGGGTCTGCCAGAATTTGTACATAGTCACTGGCAGTGACTCTACCTTTCAAGGTGATGATGGGGCATGCAGAATACCAAGATATTGCTGCCCAAACCATGGCTACAGCGTCACCACCACGCTTTACCGTTGGCACATGACAGTCTTGGCCGAAAGCTTGGGACTGTGTTCGCCACACGTAAACCCATCTGGTGGTTGGGAACAGTGTGAGGCTCGATTCATTGGACCATATTACAGTCTTCCACTGATCAATAGTCCACTATTTTTGGGTGTTACACCACTCTCTCCTCTTCTGAGCGTTAATATTAGTCACTAGTGCTTTGGCAATTGCAGCTTGCATGTGAACGTTTTGCTTATGGAGTTCCATCCATGCAGTTTTTGTGTTTGTGGCTTTGGAAGACAGATTGAGAAGGTTATGACGGCATATACAGTTTCCAGAAAAATGTTGTCTAATAAGCATAAGCGCGGTCAACTGACCAAAAGAGACAAAAAGGACATTGTGACCCTGAATAAGAAAACAACTGCTGCAAAAGTGACTTCAGAAGTCACTTTTGCAACAAATGTTTTTCTAATTCCGGGTCACAATGTCCTTTTGTCTCTTTTGGTTAGTTGACCATGTCGACTGCGCTTATGCTTATCAGACGTTTTTCTGGAAACTGTAT